TGTTTGGTAAACTGAACTCTTGGGGTGTTTTGTATATAGAGTCAAAATCAAGAATTGGGAAATTGAAGACCATTTTTTGTAATGTATACCAATACTGATAAAATATCCTCTAAAATATAATCTAATCTATAACAATAAATCATGTGTACTAATATCCTGCTACAGGAGAACAATAAACAATTTTTTATTATAATCCTTTTTTCCATTTTTTTTTTTTTCCTCCAAACATATATTACTTTTTCGCTTTATCAGCTTCTTCAGCGGCCCTACGCTCTAAAGCTCTATTACACCTTTCAATCAACATCAACATAGTTTTTGTCATGTTAATGAGATTGAACGATTCCGGCTCTTCACCTAAAATATCTTCAACCGTCCAGTTTCCTAATTTACCAGGGCTAAGATCCTGGTTGTCTTTAAACTTTTCGCGTATTACATCATTGATCACCTGTAAATTGAAAAAGTTTGTCATCATATCATAAAATTTTTGAATCATTAAACAATTAATTAATTATTGTTATTACCTCTATGGTATAATATGGTTTTCCACGACCAGTCCCTCCTTGAAATTTTTTGGAATTTGGTTGTTGCTTAAGGGGAAGTTCTTCGACACGAGTCACTTCCATGATGAAAGGATAATGTAATTTAAACTTATTGACTACTTTGTAAGTAATCGATGTGACCTCCAAGTAATCAGGAATATTTTCATATGTTATCGTCCTGTTTGCGGGATGGACCGAAGCTTTCTTGATGAAGGTGGAGAATGGTTTTACGTCGTTTCGGATAGATGTACGTGTCTTTAAGCACAATTGGAAGTCGACTTTCCTATTTTATATGATTAAGCATTTGTTGCGCGAGAATACAAATAATGAAAATTCGAAAACACTACCTGTCTAAGATACTCCAATCAAAATTTACAAGATGATTCCAACGCAGCGCAACTTTATTCAACGCAACATAATCGCAATTGACAAGCATAGTAACGGGAACATATCCAGTATTTGGATTGTTTCGTGCGTCTGCGTTGATTTCAAAGAACGCCGTCTTTGCAGAAGGTTCCATAGGTAAAGTTTCAGAAAGTAATTGTACCACGAGTTCTATCACGCGTGAATGTTCCGTTGCCCTGATGAAAAAATATTTAAATATATCATGCATAAGCCAAAAAAAATGATATACGAGCGAAAAAAAAAAGGAAAGACAGGGGATCTAACCCACATATCGGTGAATACTGGAGATACACTCATTTCACCAACTAAGATATCTTTTAAATCTGTAAATTCCCATAACTCTGAGTTTATCCGAGCGGTTACTTTCGAGAAGGACACTTTGCCGATGCTGTATCCAAAATATGATAATAAATTCATTGTGGTTTACAATTATATCATGATCCATCGTCACCATCACCATCACATAATACCTTCCATGAAACCGAATTTCTCCCCTGTGTGCCCGCGCATACTCGAATCTTTATTAAAGCAAATAATTTTTAAGAATTAAAAACAAGCGTGTCTCTTTATTCAAAGCATACCATCAATGCAATACTCACGCCTCAGAAAATGCTTTTTTCATTAGGTTGAAATTATAATCTCGCACTCTAAACAACAATTAACACAGTTAAACGCCAGACTAGTAGCAAATAATTGATCCATGATTTTAATCCTCATCACCTTTTTCCAAAGGTAACTTGTTGACGATCAAAAGGGCCATCAGTATCCGGACTCTTTTCCATAACAATGTTTTTAACCTTCGGTTTCAACTCAGTTTCCTCATTTGACTTCTTTTCCGCCTCGTTTTCCACCAGAATTCTTGTACTACTGCCGGCAGGATTTTCTACGAGGTTGCTGTTATTTCTCATCGCTTGCTCATATTTCATCTTAGCAATTCTTGCTTTCTTCGCTTCTTTACGCGCCTGTTTTTCTTCTTCTGTCTTTAACGATCGATTATTATTGGGGTCATTTGATTTTGATAACTCCTTTTTAATTGGACTCTGAGGTATAGCATTCTTTATCCTTATTAATAATATTCTTAGAGGAGGAGAACAAGAAAATTGCGAATCAAAATTTCATATTATTCTGTCTACCTTCTTAGCTTTATTCTGAAGAAGACTAGGAGGAAGAACCTCAATATCAATTCCATTCGGCAATACATTATATTCACCTGCCTCATTCCGTTGTACCGCCACTAGAATAAACGGTTCTTTTGATTTGATCGCGCTAAATTTGTCTTTAAAGTACGCATGTTGCTTTAGTGGATAGAAAAGTAATTTGAAAGCCACGTTTTGATTCGGATGATGAACGAGTGGAATTCTTTGTGTTCGATATGGGGGACGTAACTATTTTAATATATTAGACATCAAGAGAAAAGAGTGTCGGTATACGAATAAAAAAGAAAGTGGTTTAAGAAGAATATTGTTTTTACGTACGTGTATCTCTTGAAGTGTATGAAGACGTCTCATGGCTTCCTCTATATCCTCAGTTTTCGCTCCATTAACCATAATTTGCTGTAACAACGAAATGAATAACATAATTAAGTAATGACAACTCACTACGCAAAAGTGTAACTAAACTCATGAACTCTCCAAATAAAAAAATTGAAATTCAAAATTTACCTTCTCCTCAATAAAAACATCACCATTCACTCCACAATCCGCACATATCACCTTCCAATAATCCACATTATTAATCAAATGATTCCTCCTTATCCCCAACATACCTTCTATATCCACACGATAATCGAAAAAGAACGGTCTCTCCAGTCCTTCGGTTTCTTCTCCGAATTTGAGGAGTTGGCGTCCTTTATCGTATTCTTCTTCGTTGAATGGATGGAGACTCTGTATAATTGCTTTTGAAGTATCGGCTTGTTTTTGACGTTGTGGAATCGTGATAAGTCTTTTTGCTTTGGAGTACTAGAAATTTTCGTTGGATTTATGTGATAAAAAAATCCAGATGAATTTATTAATTATGATTTGTAGTGGTGAATCTATACAATAAATATTTGGTCATTACGTGATTGTTCAATATTCTTTGTACTTCCTTGCGCCTAAGCAAAATAAAGCACCAATTAAAAAATCAATATCAACTTCTTAGAATACACGTCCTTTTTTTCTTTCGCAAAATTAAAAATTCTTACGCATCGTCAAGTCGATTGTAAGAAATCCCTTTCAATTCAAAGGTCTACATACAATCATTTTAATTGACCAAAAGAAAAAAATTAGCCACATCATTATCGTCGCGTTATTTTTCCAAAAAATCCAATTTCGCTTAATCCAAATAAAACCAAATTACTTGATTTTCCGGCAAAAAATTGATTGTCACTTCATATTTCTCTTGTATTTCACTAGAAAATTAATCGATATTTAATTGCACGTACAAAAATATCTATTAAAAATGAAATGCTAAAATTGCCCCCGACTAAGTCTCGAAAAAAACGCGCAAAAAAACAAACCTGAATGAATCCGCAAGCTCAAGAGGCAACTCTTCATTCCATTCCCACACAGTATACAAAATAAACACGGCCTCTTCAAATCCATTATTATAGGAGGTCGTAGTAGTAATGGTGGTGGTGGTGGCGGTAGACGCAGCAGAAGAGCCACGCGAATTATGTCTGAGAGGCTGTTCAAAACTCATAGTTATTTATTGGATATAATATTAATGGAAAAGTTTACTTGGCCACTTAAATTTATTTGTTAATTTTTAATGATAATCAATTAGACTCTGGATGTGGTATAAAATTTACCAGCACTAACGCTAATGATTATGAAATACTTTTTATTATATTAGAATATACATCTATTGTCAAAAAATTGAATGAACGATTGACGATCAATCCAATATTAATACTGTACACACTGTAAAATTCTCCAATAATGAAGCGCTAATCTAAAAGCCGTGAAACTTTATCTAATTAATGTTAAAAAAACCAATATTTTTTTTCTTTTAGCTGTTGCCAATCAAAAGCAAAATCCAACAAGAGAAAAACAACAAACCAGTAATCTGCACGATTCTCTCCTCCTTTGCTTTCTCGGATGCTTTCTTAACAACATTTTGTACATCCAGAACTTTAGCGGCGTCTTTTGCTGCTCCATTGGAGATTATCTTTTTTATTGTTAAAAAAGAATTCGGACAAATTAATACGAATTCAAATCGTTAGAGAATGTACAAGATTGGAAAAGTCTAACAAAACGTACCAAGGTTCCCATAGTAACCATTGCCCTATATATGACTTCAGAATCTGTTTCATTCTCGAGAAACTTTTATTATGTGAAAAAAAACCAGATTTGAATCGAGCAAAATAAATGGCGAGATATGATTAAACCACAAAAAAAAATTTGCTAATACTTCAACGATGGTTGCTATCAACTGCAAAAGAAAGTCTTCGTCGGGTGATTTCTGGTATAATACAGCGTAACTAATGATAACGATAAAAATATAGAATTGAAATTTTCTGTCTGTAATTTCAAATTTACGCATGTGTTTAATAATGATGCTCACTTGAGAAAGATTGTCACAAGAACAATCCGCGTATTCGTATTTTGGGTCTTGCTCCACATTGACGAAATTAATTCCAATATCTTAGAATTAATTAAATCAATTTTAATTAATCAATTAATTTTTAAACGTTTAATCAAAAACTTTTTCTATTTACCGTCGAACTAGCTTCTCTCAAAAGATGCCATCCTTCTTTTACCTCAAACAGATTTGCTATTGATCTCAGAGCCAACATTAAATTCGTCTCATATTCTTTCGTGCGCACGAAGCTCTCCGATGACCAAGCGTTTAATTGTCCAGCATCCATTATTAGATTAATGATGGATCCTTTATTGTGCTTGTAAAGTGCTGCAATAGGCGAATATAATATAACCAGTCGTAGTAAATCAAGACCTGTCGAGATGCATTAACGTGAGTTTTCTTTTTTTTTAATTAATACAAAAAACTTAAGTTTGTAAAATCAAATAGATACCTGGAAATCTTTTCTCAAATGGCCAACTAGTACAAATTTTATGTATCACTGCGAATTCATTCTGTCTCGCTTCAGACGAGTCTGTACCCACAGAAGGATTTTCCAAGAACTTGATTAAGTTTCCAAGTGTCGAGTTTTCGGTGGGTGTTAATGCCAAACTACTTGTTAATGGATCTGATTGTAATTCATTATTGATTTGTCCAATCTTCTTGTATATAGCTTGGACATTTGCTTGTTTAAAGGAAAGATAAGATTTCTGTTTTTGCCCACCACCATTCAAAATAAAAGTAAATAAAATATAATCAAGATTATATTCAGTTTAACTAAATAAAAATTGTCATACTTGTGGAAGAACATTAGCAGAACTTGGTTTCGAAGAAGGGGCTGCAGTACTTGAAGTAGTAGTGCTAGGTCCTGGACGCGTCCACGGATCAATACCTGTTATAGTATTACCCTTTTGTGTGGGTGTGTGCGTGATTAAAATTAGGTTGTGAGTGTAGAAAAAGAAGTATTGAGGCTTACAGGGCGTGATCCTGGTACATTATTAGATGGTCCAGCACCTGGAGTATATCTCGAGCCACCTTATTATACAAATCGAATATTGAATTATAATATGAAACACCTAGCATTATACACGTTATGTGCACAAACCTGTAAACGGATCTTGATACTGTGAAGCACCTGCGCCTAGTGTAACACCTTTAGCATTTTGTATGATAAAATTGGCAATTTGGTCTAAATAACTTTGTGGCAATTCATTCGCCCATATAAAATCTTGGGCAGCCTGATATGGGTTATCTTTATTTATAAATATACATATTAACAAATCAAAGTTGATTTCATCTGTTGAATTGTTATAAAAAGAAAAATTACCAGTCACATTATATGGTAATTTAAGAGGTGGCACTCCATCCCCTATATCCACATCAAACACATAATCGTATTCTCTTCCGTTGAACAGTTGTTTTCGGCCTTGCCCGACAGCATCCACGACCTCACCCATTTTTGCCCATGTCTTGCTTGAAGCATTCCACTATATTATAATACAAATTGTGATGATTATATTTTAGTTTTGCCGATTATCTGGATATTAATAAGATAAATAATTACCATGTGTGCCTCAACTAGATCCCCAGAGCGTACCATCAAAACCTGGCCTTCCCTGTCTCCTATATAAAGTATAATGATTAATTTTCAGATACTTATGTGAACTCGTTTTTATTATATGAATCAAAAAGAATGTAAACGTATATACCAGGTTTTAATAAAGCTTCAGGTCCAGGAAGCTCATCCTTCTTTATATCGCCTATCTGGTTTCTATAGAAAAACATTTTATCGAATTTTAAACCTCACCTAATCTATAAAAAAATTAAATATTAAAATACCTACGATGGAATCGCCTGTTTTGCAACCTCATCATCAAATTCCTTTTAAAAAATAAAAATATTAAAATCGCATTATGATTCCAGAGATTTATATGAACTAGTGTCAAAGGAAATATACCTTCAACACAGATAACTCGGCAGTCCGTTCTTCAGCACGTGTAAATATGCGAATTTGGTAATCGCTGGCTCCACTTATAATATCACCGTTAGGAAGTCCTGCAACGCACCAAACTGATGTTGCTGGATGTAAGATAGTTTGTATACATGTACCATCTAATAATAATTAGATACAACTTTATTAATAAGATACAATGTAATGAAAGAATGTGAAATGGCGGAAAGAAAAAAACTACCTTTCCAAACTTTAACAGATCTATCTTCTCCAGATGACACAATCTCGCCGGTTGACAGTACAAAAATAGAATAAACGTACGAAATATGTCCGTTCAATTCTTGAATACAATCTCCAGTCAAAGTCCATATTCTTACCGTGCTAACAATATAAAAAGATAATTTTATTATAATTTATATAATTTTGTGAATTAGCAATTTTTACAAGCATCTAATGCACATAAAATATTTTTGATGACAGACCTACCTATCATTACTACAAGACACGAAACCTAGATCAGGAAGTACGCATAACCCTCTGACGCAATCAGTGTGTCCTTTAAAAATGTGTGTTCTTTTACCCTTTTCCCATTTCATTATTAATTTGTCAGCAGATCCTAAAATACTAATAAATTAATAAAATATTTGATGCGTAAAAAAGATTTACCAACCGAATATATATATATATATATATATATACCTGTAATAATCACATCATCTTCAATAGCCAAGACAGCCCATACAGCGGCCGTGTGTCCCTGCAATGTGTATGAAACCTGCCAGTTTACCCATAATTTAACGGTCCTGATGTGTAGTATGATTATTATGGAAAGATAATCAGAGTCAAAGAGATTATAAGCCTTTATTATGTTAAGCGAACCGTACTTACTTATCCCAGGATCCACTTACAAGATAACCAGAAGGTGAAACGTCCAGCGCGCATATATTATCTGTATGACCGATAAGCGAATAAATCGGATCTTGAGGGTGTTCTGGATCCCAGATATTTATAGTTTTATCGCTGCTTCCGCTAGCAATAAGACCTATAAATTGAATTGATTAAGCTCAAACATAGTAAATCAAAAAATATAACTCCTTAAGTATTACAAAACCGATAAAGCCCGGCATGCCAACCTTTGGGGTGTTTCTGGGTAGCTGGAAACACAGCAACACCAGTCACAAAATGAGTGTGTCCTAAAAAAACCTTATCCTCGGTGAACACATTTGTAGTTGCAAGCCTTGACCATAGTCGCACAGTTTTATCCCTAGATACTGAAACAACAGCGGAGTCTGAAACTGCACGAATTCCACGAACCTGTGGTCAAGTAAGGTATTTGAATAGATATAATGTTGTAATTTAGAAGTTAATGCTCGAGAAACTAAACAGGTTCTTACGCACGTCTTGTTCGTGTCCTATTAGAGTGGCGGAAAGTTTAAACTCTGTCATGATAACAGTAAAGAATTCTAAACCATTTTTTGGGAAGCTGGTAATTATATTGATTTACTGTAGCCAATCAAATAATAAATCACGTACAATTTTCTTTTCATGACGTGTAGTACACGTAAATTGTAATTATAATATCAAATAATTATAGTAAATACATTTAATTAACTACACACATCAATATAACCCCGATTTAAACATTAAATATTTCATGTAGACTGCGAAGATGACGGCGATGAAGAAGAAGATGATGATGATTGTCCATTTATAATAAATGAGGGAGGTTCCTTTCCCTCACGCTTCGCCTTCTCCAATAACTCTAGCTGAATTCGGTCTCTTGCGTTCTCGACTTTTCGTTGTATATAAAATGACCCATTTTTCGATGGATCATTCATTTTATGTAAGTGTTCAAATCGCTGTTTAAAATCATCACTTTAGCCACTTGTACACTTCAAATAGAAGTAAATAAAAATATGAAATTACCCTGGCAACAGTAGCGATATCTTCAATATCCTCTTTTTTGACATTTAGTATTTGACATGCTTCCTCGATACTTATTTTCGTTTTCTGTGTCAAAGCGTCACTCACACTATTTGCAGCACCAGTTGCCGCCGAAGCGGCACGACCTCGGCCTTGTGCAGCTGCTTGATCTTTATTTATTATTAATAAATCATACAAAGATTAGTTACATTCAATAAGACTTAATATAAATTTGGTGGAAAAAAAAATCCAAAATATAAAAAATAAATTACTTGCTATATGTTGTTTATATGCCTCCGCAAATGATCTAATCAGTATTGGTCCTAGTGCTGCTACGATTCGTGTTAACGCTTTTATCGGCTTTATTTTAACAATTTAAATATAATTTTAGTACTGTCTTCCTTCTATACAGTCACCTCCTATATAGTCACCCCCTCTCTACAATCACACCTTTTCCCTGTCCCAAATATTTATAAAACAGAGAAATTTGATCTCTATTCAATCATGACCTTTTTTAAGGTCACACGTTTGTTGTTCCTAAGGGCGTGATTATATGAAGGGAAGACTGCATATCAAATTGTCTTGAACAGGAAAATAAGGGTATATTGTGGATATTAAATTACCATTTCTGAGTTCATATTCGATTATTATACACGTTGTTTTTGTATCATATTTTAAAGACTGCTCTACTCAAGCACAAGCTTTTTTTTTCCTACCTAAACTAATTCCGCACATGAATTTGTGCAGCAAAGATATTCATCTCGTGACCACTATAAATAGTCAATACACGCAAAAAAATAGATTTCCAACAATGTCAAAAAATTTATAAGCTCGCAGAGTCGCAATTCCGAAAACAGTATAAAATTGAAGAAATTGCGCTAGCGAAACTTTAGATTAATATTACGTGTGGCGATGTAAGATTCCTTTACGAATATTATTTTTTTGCACGTATTTGGAAACGACTCGTCACATACATTTATTTCCAATCTCAGACAAAAATTTTTTTTATTATTAATTGCTTATAAATAAAAAAATTCTATAGAATATAAAATTGATCTGGCCAAATCTAGTTTCTTTTCCGATAATTAATTTATGTTCGGAAAACAGCAGGCATATTATTAAACAGAGACCCCACAAGTGAATCAACACCTTCAGGTTTCAGCGAGCGTAAGACTGTTTCCATTCCACGTTTTCTTGAACGTTCCGAGGGACTTAATGATATCACTGATTGGTCTTTTAACATTCTAGATTCAAACGTTTTATATTAGTTTTTTTTAATTGAAAGTATTATTTAGGAAATAATAAAACAAAGATTAATCTTACTTTTCAATAAGATTCACGACATCCGCAGGTTTTATACGTGAATACTTTTTGTTACGCGTGGATGACGTCAAGTATTCCTCCATATTTTCACACTGTAGTAAATTGACAATCTATTGGATTTTTCCAAATCAAATGTTATTTAATGAGTTTAATTAAGAACCTAATGCAAAACAATAAATCACCTGTCGTAATTCCATAAATGCATCCGCTATGTTAGGATTATCAAGTCCTTGAGCAAATTGCTCCAAGAATCGGACATCATTATCGAAATTTGTAATTCCATTCACATTGATTTTTTTTACTTCGGGACTAAGAATCAAGTCCTATTAATTAGATTAATAGAAAAATAGATTTTGTGCCAAAAAAAAAAAATGATTAGCTCTTCTTATTCAAATGTTGTATGATCATTCAGAGAAGCTTACATGAAGTGAAGTCGACAAATGGGCAAGCGCATCGAAATAAATAAAAGTTTTAATGGACACTGGTAAATTGTACAATGTTGAACTAATGACAGTAGTCAAAAAGCCAACCATATCTAAAAAAAAAAAAAAGAAATTATGTTTAGAAAAAGTTTTTGTGCCAATCGAAAATTTTTTATTGTTACAGGAAAATCGAGCTTATTACTTACCCTGCAGAAAAGGACTTGGTTGAGAAAGAGCAACACTTGGTGCCCTTCAAATACCGAAGGATTTATTTGTCAATATTTAACCAACAACATAAATTAAATTATAATGAAATTCAATATATTATTACCAATCATAATCTGCTAATTCCAAGAAATCATCAATTTTCGAATTGACCAACTCGAAAATTCTTTTTTCTGCCTTTTTACGTGTTTGATGGAATTCATTTGAAGCGTTTAATTGTATTCTACCACCACGATGCATCGATCTATATAAAATAGTTGACTATCATTAACTTAATCGATTAAATGAACGAATGAAAATGAATGCGAAATTGATTAACGAAATAATTGATGAACCAACCTCCGATCCTTCAATAATTTTTCCAATTCCGCACACATATTTTCAAAGTATTCCAAATTAATGATAATCTGAACTATCTGTGTAAGATTCGTGCTTTGCAATTTACCCAATAGAACACCGTTAACATGTTCTATCAGTAAAGCATCCAATGCCTATAATCACAACGTTTGCATTTAGATAGCACTAAAAAAGATTTACATAAAAATATATACAAACCTCTTTTAAAATGTCATCAAGGTAATTATGTCTTCGAGAGGCGTCTTCGGCGAAATCGTAAAATTGATCGACAAAATTTTTTATGTCGAGACAACAGGATGGATAAGCTTGAGAAAATGGCAAAGTTCGCGGGAAACTATAATTACAATGATCATATGTTAAAATATACCGATAAATTGTATAAGCCAAATTTGAATTTTTAACAATAATACCGAATCGCATTAGCACGTTGCTCATCTTTGAACCAACAAGCGTCCACAACAGCTTCATATTCTTCGGGTGCGTTTACAACCATAGGCATATAATCATCATCCAATATAGTCTATCACATCAAAAAACGTTATCATAATATTGATCGTAATTTAGAAAAATAAGATAAATTAATGGCTAGAAATTCAATAGGGTACAAAATAATACTTGATGAAAATCTTCAGCAAATTTCTCTTTCAACATTTCCGAATACCGTTGGTACACATTAAAATGCAAGTCCGTATACATATGAGTATTATAAGAATACTCCTATGATAAAATATAATGTATTAGAATTGCTAACATAATATAATTGTGTAAATAAATAAAGTTACCTCAAATGTTTGAATATAACTAGTCAAATAATGTTTAATCTTTACAAACAATTCCGGACTATGACATTCACGCAACGCATTCGACACCATTTTTATCACTTTAGTGGTAACACTGTCCCAGAGAATGTCTACTTCGCGCTGTGACCGGAAATTGTGTGTTGAATGTACAATGATGTATTCGATCACGAAAAATCCAACGATCTCGTCGAGAAACGATTCGAATCCTCGAATGTCGCCGTCTTTTAGCGTGAAATTTGCTGATAAGACTAAATTTGCTTGAGCCTAATGAAGAGAATTGAGTTGTTTATTAAATTTAACGAAATAAATTTATGATTATTTTTCTAGTTGTTAATTATCGAGTACCCTTCGATCTTCTTCATAATTTGCTTTAAATTCACTTCTTTTACCAAGTTCTTCATATATGTGAAGACACTGATAAAGTGGTTTGAAATCAATTTGTACTTGATCATTATTTACAACGTTAACTATAAATTAATCAAATGAAAATTCATGAAATTAATTGGAATGATAATTAAGATCCGTAGAAATTTACAGTAAAACTTACACTCATTCTCTTCGTTCATTGCCAGTTCAATAGGAGAATTAACAGGCGCAGATGCTAAATCTTTATTCTGTGCTACTTTTTGTTTCCAACGCTCTTGTCGTAACGTTAATTGTTCAATGGCCAATTTTCCAACTTTTGAAGACACCTCTCTCACTCTAAAAAGATCAACATAAATATTATTTAGAATAATTTTCCATTTTTATTTCTTCTTTTCTCACATACTTGAATAACCATTCCTGCAGTTCTCTCGTTACTGCATCTTTTATATTGTTTTGCATAACTGGTATCGATTCCTCTAAATGATTTAATTTTTTTTATGTTAAATATTATTAAATAAAACAAACAAAAAACATCTCATTAATGAAGAAACACGTACGCATATGTCGCGCAAATTCATATTGACTCACTTTACGTAAATGTACAGTCTGTAGTTCCTCAATTGTCTAAATTCAATTAATTCCAAATATAAAAAAAAGCCAATAAATAAAACAACCAAATTTGTATCTTTTCTTAATAAATTACAAACGACGGAAATAATTACTAAGAAAATATATATAAACCCGCAAAGCCGAATAATATTTTTTTTCCTCAATTAGACTGTTGGCTCGATTTGCTAAGTCCAGCACGTATAAGCATGTTTGTAATGTCTCCACAGCTTCATCGATATTTTTCTGAATTTTACGAGTTTGTATTAACTCTTTTTTCTAATTATAAAAAATCGAGATTTGTAAATAATAAATTCATAATGAATAGACATATTAAAAAGTAAGTATTGACCTTCGTAGCAAGTTTTTTACCCGATAATTGAACATCATAGTTCAAATCTATTATTTTATTTTTAAGATTCACAGTTCCTTGTCTCACTTTTAAAAGTTGATCTACAGAATGTACAAATTCCTATATTTATGGATGAGAATGTATTTTTATTTTTAAATAAAAGCTAACAACATGGCAATTTCGAGTATGCAATCTAAAAATTGATGACTCCCACCCTTCCGACACAAATAATGAAACGTTTGATGGCATCTTTGTACACAAATTGAAGGGGAAACAAACCTGATAATTACTATTGCACATTCTCTCAATCTCACCCTCCTTCTTTCTCACAAAAACTGTCAGCTGCTCGAGAAACGCCTCCTGACGTCCATTATCATATATAGACTTTATTATGGGTCCAAGTTGCTCTAAATTTTCATTCTCAGAGTTTAATTCTGCCGAAAGAACCAAAGATTGAAGCTGTTGCTGATCTATCTCTGCCATCTCTTGGAAAGAATCGTCGCAATTTGTTCCCCTTAATCTAACGAAGGTTTCTATCAGATGATATCTTATCTGATGATCGCAATCACACAAAGATCTCTGTGCGTCTTTACTCAAAAGTTTTGAAATGGCACCTCTTTCTTTACCAAAACCTCAAACAATAAAAATAAACGTTTTAAACACTTTATGGGCAGATAGTCAAGATTTTAACATAGTTGGACTAAGTGACTCCTTATGGAGCAAGCTGTCGCGTCATACATTGACACCACAGGGTGAAGGTAGTAAACAAGTTGTTGTGACGGGAATTTTTCTCACAAATTGAATATCAAATACTTCTAAAATTTGAAAAATTAGCCAATGTAATAAATGGCTTCAAATCGGTCATTTCAATATCAATTACTCCGCGAGACGTCAGTCAGACTAGCTCGAACTTATTAAAGCCTAAACCAGAGAATACTTGGATGAAACCCTTGATTACATCGATAGTTACGTTTGCACAATTGTACCATTCAGAGATATATGGAGAGGCGCGCGATGTAAGTCACGTGTGAAAAATTATAGAATGAATCATTTATTAACGATTATCATTCTTGTAGTGTCACACGTGTTTCGTGACTCGATTATTTGCCAAACAGCATAATTTAGTAGATGGAATTGAAGTTGATATCGATATCATTCAACCAATTGAATTGGAGGAAGTGATACTTGGTGCTCTGGAAATAGACTCTCTTGAGGTTTCAATGATAGGTGCGTCTATCTCTTGTATTACTAAAGCACAAACACGCGACGTTGATTACGTCTGGGCATTATATTGTTAAAAGGCAAATGATTTTTTTTGATTACCAATATTCGTTCACTGGCACCGACTTTTACAATTATTATTAAAGATCCTGTTGCCGTATTGGACTATTTTCGCTCTTCACCTCCTATCATAATTCGCCATGCACAAACTTATCGAATTTCTAATCCTCCTTCACCGACTTCTGCGACTGCGAAATTTTCATCTTCACTCGATTTTAAAGTGTTAATGTGCAATCCGGTGTTACAAGGTATAATCTCGGATCAAACGAATCTTATAATTACAGACTTATCGAGTGAGACACTTAATATCAACGAAGAAGACCAATTGGATGACGAGTTGATTGATCTCGATAATGACGAGGATATTTTGGAGCAGGAATTAATTCCATTGGAATTGGATAGTTTCTCGTTGTTGAGTTCACAGATGGAGAGTCCTACAAATGGTCTTTATTTCCGTATGCCAGATGAATTAAATGACCTTGGATCAGATTCAACGGCGTCAGTTTCATCACCGTCCTCTGAAGAAGAGAGTATTAAGAATGATGATTCCAGACATTTAAATCAAAAGAAAATTGAGTTCAAGCCGTTGATTTTGTCAAGTCCTCTGTCAAGATTATCACTTAAACCGACACCAAAAGAAAACGATGATCCAGAATCATGGATTTTAATTAGTATATCGATGTTAGCTAGATTAGGATGTCAAAGTGGTAGCTGGGTTCGTTCATCATCTTAATAACAATTACTATTTTTAGCTGTCAACGTGGATTATATTTATTTTAATAGAAATTGATTATCAGGTTCTAGTATCAAGCGCAAAAAATAAACCACGACTATGTCAAATATATGCAGCCGATATACCCAATTCGATAAAGTAAGCTATTTTTAATCCTATAAGAAACGCTTATTTCTTATTGTTATATATCTAAAAAATATATCTTTTAGTCATTCACTGCCATCTGCTTATATCACTCCGCAACTTCACTTTAATCTTGGCCTGAACAAAAAATCCCTTGATACTTTAGAAAGCATTAGTATTCAATCCGTTGATAAACCTCGTTCATCACCACCTGTTGCAAGGAGTTTGACTGTTGCTAGGGTAGCTTCTCCATGTAGCCATGATAAGACTTTATATCCAGCAAGTTTGGATGAACTGAAAAAATGGTTTGAGAATGTAGAAAGAATTGTTTGTGAAGGCGATGTAATTTCCGTGCCTATTGATGGTAACTATTATAATGACAAGACCTTTTGTAATGATTTATAAAGAATAATTCTCTAAGAACAGTATCTATTCTATAAAGAGGAAAATGCTCGATTAAGACCACAGCAGAAGACAGAAGGTGGCATTGAATCATTAGAAGATATCAAAATTCCTATGGCGCCCACAAAATATACTACTGTTGTGCACTTTATTATCACTCGACTAGAACCAAACGACAAGAAAAAAGCCCTCAAAAAAGGATATGGAAAAAGAGTCGATCCAAAACTTACGAAAATGGTTCAAACAGGACTGGAACATTCAAGGGTACCACCTGCAATAAAACGTTATTTGAGAATAATTTCAGAAACCCCGATAACACCACCAGTTGACTCTCCACTTACTGCTCCTGAAACTCCGTACGTGATACTTTATGATCTAATGTCATCATGTTTAGATCCAAGCGCTTCATTACTTAATCTCAGTTGCACAGTTTTGCTACATGGTCAACGTGGATGCGGGAAAAAGACAACTGTTGAATGGGTGTCAGAGCGTCTTGGAATTCATTTATATGAAGTAAATTGTTTTGATTTCGCTGGGGAGACCGATGCAAAAATTGATACTTCTATTCGTGCTAGACTCCATAATGCCATCACTTATTCCCCATGCGTATTTTTACTCAGACATATAGAAGCATTAGCCAGGAAAAGTGCAGTATTAGAAACTGGACAAGAACCAACCGTATCAGTCACCTTACAAGATTGTTTTAAACAATTGGTAGAATCTTTTAAAAAAATAGGACATCCTGTCTTGGTAATTGGGACAACAAGTGATATTGAAAAGATACCCGCAAGTGTCATAGGTTGTTTCCGTCATCAAATTTTATTTGAAGCTCCCGCTGAACCAGTCAGATTAGCAATTTTGGAACAATTGACAATTGACACTCCATTGGCTCCTGATGTATCATTGTCATCATTGGCTACTCAGACTGCCGCACTTGTGGCTAAAGATCTGGCAGATTTAATAGCGAGAGCAGGACTCGCTGCACTTGAACGAGTTGAAAAAGGCGTAAAAAAATCAGATAAGCAAGTGCGAGATGTCGATTTATTAAGAGCTGGAATAGCATTGACAGCAGCTGATTTCGAAACAGCTCTTGGAAAAGCTAGAGCATCTTACTCCGATAGTATAGGTGCACCCAAAATACCAAATGTAACATGGGATGACGTAGGTGGTTTAGCGTCAGTTAAAGACGATATCTTGGATACGATACAATTACCTCTGGAACATCCAGAACTATTTGCCAGTGGTATGAAAAAACGATCTGGTATATTATTATATGGGCCACCTGGTACTGGAAAAACATTACTTGCCAAAGCAGTGGCCACTTCATGTTCCCTAAATTTTTTTTCGGTGAAAGGACCCGAATTGTTAAATATGTATATCGGTGAATCCGAAGCAAATGTGCGTCGTGTGTTTCAAAGGGCACGTGATGCAAAACCCTGTGTCATTTTCTTTGATGAACTTGATTCGGTTGCACCTAAAAGAGGTGAAAAAGGAGATTCTGGTGGTGTTATGGATCGTATTGTTAGTCAGCTACTAGCAGAATTGGATGGTTTAGGTCAAGGGAGTGGTGCAGCTGATGTATTTGTTATTGGTGCAACTAATAGACCTGACTTATTGGATCCTGCGTTATTAAGACCCGGCCGGTAATTTTGATTATTTTTGATTTATCAATATATTAATAACTTATTTTTGTAATAACTCGTTATTAGATTTGAGAAACTACTTTATCTGGGGGTGAGTGAAGATCACGAATCACAGCTCAACATTATTCGAGCATTGACCAGAAAGTATGGGTTCGGTTTTGTTATATAATTATCTTTACATATTGAATTACTGAATTCAATCATAACATGTAAAAATATATAGGTTTCGTTTGGCTCCTTCCTTGGATCTTGCTGCTGTGGCAAATAAGTGTCCATTTAATTATACAGGCGCTGATTTCTATGCCCTGTGCTCGGATGCAATGTTAAAAGCAATGGCTCGAACGGCTGAGGCGGTTGAGGCAAAAATTGGCATGTCTCGTGAATTTTGTATTAAGCAAAGCAAAACAAATATATTTCTAACTTCCTATTTATTGTTCTAACCTTATGTCTAAAGCTGCCTTAAATGCAAATCCTCCGCATGACAGAAAATGGACTGGCTCGTTAACATCCCAATACTATCTTGACCATCTCGCTACACCACAAGATATTTACGTAGAGGTGACACAACAAGACTTTGAACGTGCCTTGGAAGAATTAGTGCCTTCTGTGTCAGAAAAAGAACTTGAACATTACCGGCTGGTTCAAAAACGGTTTACACAGCAAGATGGAAAAGACAAGCAAAATAATGATCAAGAGAGCACAAGTGCACTTAATCATCAATTTCATCAGCAGACTGATATCAATTGGAATAATGGTGGATATAGTAATGATAACGGAGTCATAGATCATGGATTTGGTAATGCCAGCAGTACAGGTGGCGGTAGTAGTACTAAAGGAAAAGGAAAAGCGTAAGATATGATCATGTTTATATTAATATAAATTTATAGATTGAACTTTTCTTGTTTTACATAGGGTGCCAATACAAAAATGTATTTTTCTCCATAATAAAAATGTAATTTTCTCCATAATAAAATGTAAGGAGAATTCATGTTTCTATAATCAGCTATTTTAAATTAACTGAAAATTTCAATAATATAATATTAATTCTTCGGGATTTTTTGTTAAATTCTCCGATAAGATATCACGTGGCATATAGAATTACTATTGAACCCCACCGGAATTTTTTTTGAAGGATTATTTCCAAATAAGTTATTATATATGCATGCAATGTTAAATTTTGTATAAAAAATAATAATGTAATTTTGCATGATGAAATTCAGCCAATCAAAAATAATATATGTGATATTTCAGCTGTGATGTTAAAAAAAGTAAAAAAAGTCTAACTAAAAAATAATAACGTATTTATTTTTTTTAGACTGCACCATATTAGTAAAGTAAAGCTCATTCAAATGAAAATGAAATGTGATTGTCCAATAAAAATTAGAGATAAATTTGGATTTTGTCCGACTTTACCCATTAAAAATTCCTCATTATTTGATAACACGCGATTCAATAAAGCGGCTTTTCTAAAAAACGTGTTTTCTAAATTTCTCGCCTTTTAAATTACTCCGAAGCTTTCACTAAGAACGTATTTTCAACATAAATTAAGCTTTTTGATAACATATTCAATTCTCAAGTTTTCACAATTCACATTTTGAAAATGCTTAAATTTATTCTTTTCTTTTTTTTCTTAATTTTATTTGGTAAGTTTAAGAATTGATACCCTTTCAATTCCTAAATGTAATAAACTAACAAAATCAATTATATATTCTAGTATTATATTACTTCCGTGCACGAATATTTCCGTTGATTCTTCCCCGTTTACCATATTTTAATCAACGCTATAGACGTTTGCCTACATTCTTCTCCACGACTTCTTTTGAGACAGATATTGAAGATGGTTTGACTTCAGAAACTTTTGATTTATCACAGAACTTGCGTGAGGGAGATTCAAGAGCGGGTCTTGAAGATTCGGATGAAATAAAAAAGATTATGGCGCGAGAGGGTGTCGGATTTGACCAAGCCCGTTTAATAAGGCAACAAAGAAAATTCAAAAACAATAATATCGACCCCCAAACTGGGGTTCCAAAAGATCCAAAATTTGTGTCTTTTTCATAATCTCTAACGAGATTGTTGTATTAACATTTGTTTTTTTCATGTAAATTTAATTCGTATTTATTAGATTAATTATAATTTAATAATGATGATAACTATACTATATAGCATGTATAAAATAACAATAATAATGATTCATAAATTTATTACTTATCAGAACATGTAATGTGACACGGCCAATTAGAGTATTTGTAGAGAATGGATTCTTTCATTTCCAGAAGGCCGACAATTTCGATTGTCCCGGTATCACATTATTTTTCTTTTTGCTATTCTTTTTTGGCTTTTCTGTATTTTCAATATGATGTTTTTCAGACTGCTGCTGTTGCAACTTTGTTGTTATTTGAGATTTCGGTATATAAGTGGGTTGTGGTTTTTCAAGATCATCATCAGAATAAGATTCCCATTCATAAACATTCTCAACAACTAGAGAAGATCAAACAACATACACACATTAATATGGTTTTTTATGATTTGAAATAGATAAATATTTTCAATTACCGTCATATCCACGAGAATTTGTTGATGTTATGTGTTTGGCAACTTTTCGTTTTGCACGTCGACGATTCTGAGTTGGTTCTTGTGGTGTTGTGATATGCTGTTCTTGCAATGGAACAGAAATGATTGTTGACATTTCATCAATATCCATAGCATCACCATCATTATAATCATCAATATTTGTTGAATCGTGATGCTGCTGCTCTTTCACATGAGTATCCTGCTGCTCTTTCACATGAGTATCCTGCAATGACTTCGAATCATTGTTTTCCGTTGACATCTCATTCATGCTTGTCAATCGACGATCTCGTTCCTCTTCTTCCTCCTCCTCCTCGTCTATTGTTTAATTAAATTCTTAGTCATGCATATTATACTTTGGCAACGAAAAAATACTATTTATTACCTGATATCTCCACGATAATCCTTTTCTTTGGTGGCATTCTACCAGCACGTTTACTATCATCAACCGATTGTTTTGACCTTTTTCCAGTGGTTCTCGGGGCAATCTTTGTAGTATTTGCATTAATCTTCGATGATGTTTTTCCGTTAACTTTTTTAATACTGAGTGATTTTTTGCCATTCGAAGTCTTTGAAGATGAAGATGATATTGACATTGGAGAATTCTCAGCATGTTGCGCTTGTCGTTGTGAGTTACTTTTATTCTGAATTTTCGATTGTGTTGATGACTGTTGCTTAGTAGTGGCAGAAGTAGTAGCGTTAATCGAACGAGAAGGCTCTGTAATATTTTTTTTTGGAGATTCTTTGACTGTGATGTTTTTATTAATAATAATTGGTTTTCTTAAATTATAGCAATTAAATTAGCTTAGAACTTTTCCATAGACAAGCAAGTGAATAAACGAATAAAAATTGCGACTTTAGCTTACATTGTTATTGGATCGTTTGCTGTTAATCTTCGAAATTCACGATTTGTGGGAACAACAGAAGATGAATTCTTAAAATTATTTATAAGAAAAAGATTAGTTATGAGCACATAATTAGCAATGTTTTGTTAAGACTGACACTGGCTTAGAGACCTGAATGCTGTGTACATGAACACTTGACAGAGATTTAAATGCACTTTTTGTGGCTATGAACAGAAAAGTTTCGATACGTGAGTTCTAATACATTTATTAAATGGTTTTATTAATTAGAAAATGACATACATTCGAGTTCTTCTTGGGGCACGATGGTAACAAGTGACTGATTATCTTGGGTTATTCCAGAGAGATAAAAAGTTGTGCGAACTCCTTTTTCAGAAGCTGACTGTGTATTCGCAAACTCCAAAAGTATTCTGCATTTTTACATAAACAAAGAAATAATTATGAATTTTATTTCTTTGCTAACGAACGTTTCTATCTCGTAAAAAATTCACTTACTGCTTAGCAATGTTCAAGTGTACTCCAAGGTGCTGGCCAAGGCATTTGTAAGAAACCTTTTAAGACATACCAATAAATGAATAAATTAATCAGTCTCATTCCTTTCTGTAAAAGAAGAAACATAAATGCCAGGACGCGTGAAAAATTAACGGCCTCAACAAATTTTCACGTCTTTATAACTTCCTTCTCCTTTTTTTACATACAACACGTTCCTCTTCAAAAATAAGTGATTTAAGCACTTGTAAGTAGTTGTCGAAAGAAGACATTGTGAACTGTAAGACTTTTCAAAGTAAAAAGAATAAAAAGTTTGTACTTCAAAAACGCGAGATTAATAGCCCTATCCCGCAGCATTCAGCTGACCAATCAAAAAAATGTTTCAGATGAAACTTCTAATACCCGCGCAATAAGTTTAGGACCCACCCCTTTAAGATCTGTGATAAACAGTACATATATGGTAATGTTTTTACTTTTTCTGCCTGAATATGATAAAATTATTAATTTACATGAAGCTGATAATTCTAAAAGCATTATTTCAAAAAAACAGGATTTGGCAAAATAACTGTACATAATATAATAATAAAATATCATGAAACAGATATTATTTCTATTATTTCTTTAGAGTAAATATTTAAATATTCTTAAAATTATTATTATTAAAAATTATCATGAATTTTTATTAAAAAATTTTCATTAAATATACTAAAAATATAATATATAGATGTATTATGCAGAAAATATTATATATGATTAAATAATTCTTAAAAAATTCAATATAATCAAAAAATTTATTTAAATTTAAAATAATAGAAAAATTTGAATTTAATAATATTTCAAGAAAAAAATATAATATTAATTATTTTGTTCTAATTATAAAGTATAAAAAAGAAGAAATTATAATTTAATGATATTTTTTATAATATAAATTAGATTTATTAATAAATATTAATAATTAAATTAATAGTAAAAGATATATTCAAGAAATATTTAACTTTTATTTGATCTATTTTTAAAAAAATTTAAAAAAGAATATAAAAATTATTGATTTTAATAAAATAATATATCAATATATATAAATAAAATAATACAAAATTTCATTAAAAAAATAGAAATAACTTTATTATTTTGATCTGAATTAATCTTATAGAATATTTATAAGTTTAACTTGAATATTATATCAGATTTAAAAAGAAAAATATAACAGAATTTCTTTAGTAATATTAATTAAAAATTTCAAATAAAATTTATAAAGAGCTTATTAATAATATAAACTATTAAATAAAGATTATAATAAAGTTTTGTAATTATTTTACAAGCTATTAATAATATTTTTTTATATTTTATAATAGTAAATATCAAAAAATTAATTTTTTTATTTTATTTTTTATTAAAAATTATATTCTTTTTATTTATAAAACTTTAATAATATCTAAATTCTTAAATTTTATAAGATTATAGATTAGGTTTTTTTATTTTATTATATAAAATAAGTATTTTTTAAATTAGTATAATTTTAATATTATAAATAAATTTATAATAATAAATTATTTAGCAGAAATAAAAATATTAATAATTTAATAAAAAAATATAATAAAATTAGTTATAAATATAATTATATATTTAAATAAATTTTTCTTAAAGATTTATTAATATTAAATATCTTGTAAAAAAATATTTAAATTAATTTATAAAATAATCTAATTAAATAGATTATTAAATAATTATAAATAAAATTATAATAATAAAAATAAATTTAAGTAAGATAAAAAAAGAAAAATTACTAATTTATCTAATATAATACTTAATATTTTACTAATTAAATCATATAATTAATAATAAATTAAATTATATTTTATATAAATATAAATTAGCATAATTTAAATTATTATAAAAAAAATTTTTATACTTAATAGATCAAAATAATTAGTTAATTAAATAGTTAATTATAATTATAATATATATTTATAAAATATAATAAGAATTAAGTAATAAATTATAAACTAATAAATAAAATTAAAAGATAAGATATATATATTAATTAAAAAATAATAAAAATGATAAAATTAAAATATTTTATAAAGAAAAGATAATAAAGAAAAATAAATAAAATTTATTTCTAAATTATTTTTAAAATATAATAAATTTAAAGTAAATTATATATCTATAATTCTGAATTATTTTTAAAGTATTACTAAATTATAGCTAAAAATTATTATTAATATATTAATTAAATTATTCTAAATTATATACTTTTTAAAAATTGATTGATTAATCAAAAATTCAAAATTTAAAAAATTATAAAATTAAAAAAATTTATATTATTATAATAATAATATTTAATAATATTATAAGATTATTTTGTTAATGGTTGTAAACAAGATAAAATGTGATATGAATAAGTTTTAATTTTATAACTTATGAT